GCAATGCGTTCAGTCTTCACTGTATCATTTCACACTCATTAAAACTCAATGAAGTACTGGCTGGGCATGGTGGCTTATGCCTGTAATCCCAGCACTTTGAGAGGCCAAGGCAGGTGGATCATGTGAGGTCAGGGGTTTGAGACCAGCCTGACCAACATGGTGAAACCCCGTCTCTACTAAAAATACAAAAATTAGCCAGGCGTGATGGCTGGTGCCTGTAATCCCAACTAGTTGGGAGGCTGAGGCAGGAGAATTGCTTGAATCTGGGAGGCGGGGGTTCCAGTGAGCGGAGATCACGCCACTGCACTCCAGCCTGGGGCACAGAGCGAGACTCCATCTCGAAAAACAAAACAAAACAAAATAACAACTCAATGAAGTAGGGATTATTAATTCCATTTTAGAGTTGGAGAAACAGAGGCAGAGGAAGTTCAAAGAAGTTACTTGAGGTGCTCAAGGTCACATAGCTGGTATGGCTGTATGATGTATGCAGAATTCATATTTGGCTTAGTTTGGATCCAAAGTCTGTTCTTTCCACTGGACCATAGAGCTTAGCTTGGCTTTAAGCAACTATGATATGGTAAAACCCCTCCAATTTTTTTGGCAAGGCTCATCATAGAACCCCTTTTATATAGGATCTGATTCATAAAATGGGAGTTTATTATTTTCAACACATCTATTGTGTACATCTAGTGTGGCATATTTTCAACACGTCTAGTGTGGCATACTGGTGGGGTTGCTCTCTGGGGCACAGACAGGTCAAGTGACTTGGTGAGTATCCCAGCTCAGAGGTCAGCAATTCATCAGTTCTGAAGGCTCCCCAGAAATACTAGGGCCTCTGGGAGGTGCCTGTGGCCAGAAAAGTTGTCCCTGACACTGCTGGGAGCCAGGGAAGCTCTACAGGTCCACGGGGCTGGCACTTGGAAGGGGGCCTGGCAGAGCGTACAGGCAGCATAGGCCAGACCACAGGTGGGAACAGTGAGGGACTGCAGCAGTGGGCCGGGACAGGAGGGCCGCAGACACAGCTGAGGCAATGGGACAGAGTGGTGGGTGGGGGTGGATGTTGGCAATGTAAAAACAGCAGAAGTGGGTGAAGGGCTGGAGAAAGAAGGTGAAGGAGAAAGAGCAAGAAGAAAAATTCCAAGAAGGTTCCTGGGATGCTGACCTGGGCCCCTGAGGCCAAGAGGCTTCTATAGAGCTTGAGGTGTAGGGTTGGGGAAGTGCAGGGGCCGGAGAAATTGATTTGATTTGGATGGGTTAAGTCTGATGTGTATGCTGGCCATCCAGGCAAAGATTTCTTAAGGTCTGGGGATGGTGAGAAGGCTTTGGGATTACTGTTGTGAGGGGCACTTGTTTCTAGAATCACTGGCAGGGAAGTGATTCTAGGAAGGCACCTCCCCCGCATCTGCCTTCCTGCAAGACTTACACTCCCTTCCTCCACCCAGAGTGGGATTCTACCTGGGCATCTGCACACACACGTACACCCTACACACTCATCCACACACGCCACACTCTCCTCTCAAACACGCACTCACATACATACCCATGCATGGTGCACACCCTTACACACTCACATACACACTCCTCCACATGCACACTCACACACTGACCTTGTGTATACTCATGTCCACTCCTACACTTCTCTCAGAGACACACACGGAACACACATGCACTCACCCCACATGCACCCCCCCACACGCCTGCACCCAGACTCATCACAAAATCCCATTCTTAATAGCTCTTGCTACATTGAACCTGCCTCTCAGCCTCCCCAGAGAGTGGCCACTGTCAGGGGACTGGATGCCCCGGGGCAGGCATGGGAGCTACGGCAGAGTGACAGTCAGGCGACCCACACTTGGGATGGCCCCAGCCCCTTACTGCCTTGGCCCTGTGGGTGCTGGCTGGGGCTGGCCGGCTGGAATCCAGCCTCTGAAGGACTGGAAGCCCTTCTGGTCTTAATTCCAGGCTTCCAGAAAACCTAAGAGCAGGATGTCCTTGGAGTGGAACACATATGAGAACTGGGAGAGTTTCTAGAGCACCTCTCATCTGGCTTGTGCAGATGAGGAAATCAAGACTCAGAGACGGCCTGGCTTGCTCAGGGTCTCCCTGCCAGGAGGTGGCAGGCTGGGGCCCCAGGCTGACTCTACTGGGTCCAAGTGCCCTCAGCATTCGCTGGCTGACAAGTTTGACCACAGAGGGATGGGATGTGGTCTCAGGATGTGCAGGTTGGGCACACGGCCCGCCACCAGGTGTTGGGCTATAGGGGCTGCTCCTGCTCCTTGTCCTGTCCCACAGGGAGCTGCCTCCCTGGCTCTGGGCCTGGCTGGTGGCTGGGAGTGGATGGTGAGGGCAAGATGTCAGGCAGCTCCAGGCTCTGGCCCCTCTAGGCCAGAATCCTGACCCTGATGGGGACGCACAAAGATAGGGCAGGCAAAGAGCAGCTGTCTTTCCTCAGATCACTCTCATCATGGCTCTGAACAGCCTAGTTTCCCTTTAAAAATGACTATTTACAGAGCTTTTATTTAAGAATTATCTAAAACCTTCTTGAACTTGACTTTTGCCTCGGCCTCTACCACCTCTTGGAGGGAAATGAGTACTATAAATTGCATCCTACCACACAAAGTTGGGCTACCTTTGATTTTCCTTGAATTCCCCTGAGTTTGAGATCTATTTGAAGTACTGGGGTCAATGGCCAGGGCTCCTGCTCCCCTTTCTGGGTCCTGTGCAGTTTTCAACCCACAGAGTGGGAGATCAGCTCCAGCCTGAGAGTCCAGCTTCAAATCTACCCAGTCTTTTGGGGGTACTATGTCTTCTCCTCCTAACCAGTCTCCTGACACCCACCGAGCATTGCTGCCCATGGCTGGCATGGAGATTGGCCATTTCTTGCTTGCTCACATGTTTTCTCTTCCTTTGGGACATATTGTCATCATCATCATTATTATCATATGGCTTTTTTCCTCTCCCCAAATATCATTTCTAATCCAATCACCCGACAGGACAGTGCTAGCCTGTGATGTTCTTCCTTCTAGATTTTCTTCCTAGGCAGAGGTCTTGTTAGTGGTGGTGGTTTTTTTTTTTTTTTTTTTTTTCTGTTTTGTTTTTGAAGTTGGAGGCTAATCCCTTGTGATGCAGAGGGCATTTCCAGACCTGAGGCTGTAGCCGTGGCTTGCATGGGAAAAATGAGTCACAGTTGCTATTCATAGCTGGATTTTAAAAATTAAGAGCAGGGCAGCACATGCTGGGAGCTGGTTCTGGGCTCAGTGCTTTGAGACATGTCTGGAGAATCCTATGTTTAGAGAACTTACATTCTAGTTGGAATGATGAGATCCACCCATATGAAAAGCTAGGTGACACCACAGGTATTAAATCATCACGAATATTACAAGGCTGCTTGGAGAGACTGGCATATTGAGAAGCACAGAGATTGGTGGCGTCTTCAGGAATTCATGGTGGCAAAGATCCAATGAGGTGGTCAGGGAAACCTTCCTGGGGGAGGTGGCATAGCAGCTGAGCTTTGAAATCTGAGTCAGTTTGGACAGCATGGATGGGGTGGGAGGGATTGGGGAGAGATATTTGGAGGTGGGGAAGCTCCAGCATTCCCAGAGGCCTGGAAGTAGTTCAAATAGGTCGGGGCAGTGGATTGGAGTCAGGAATGACCTCTCCGTTGAGGAGTCTGCCCTGGAGAAAGCAGGGAATTGTGGAGGGGTTGATAAAGAGGCTCTGATGGAGGCTACCGATTCAGGGAAGGTCAGTGGGAGGTATCTTAGGTCTGCTTTAAGAAACCATGAAGGGGCTACTGAGAAGATGGGCATCTGCCAAGGAGCCAGCCTTGTCCTGTCATCTCTTGGCCCCACCTCCCTTCTACCCAGAGCCAGAGTTGGCCTTAGGCTGTTACTGGTGTCAGCCTGGCACATGTACCTGCAATGCCAGTCTGGAGGTAGCAGAATGTCCATACAGGTTAAAGAGCACACAGAATCTTCAAATTCCAGGTCTTACTCACTAAAACCCACCAGCAGAGGGCCATGAGGACCTTACCAGTAGTCAGAGTTAGGGTTATCAGCCTGCCACAAGGAGGGAGAGGGCTCGTCATGGGAATTGTGGGGCATCCCAAAGTGGGCATTATGGGAGGACACTCACAGAGTTTGGGGGCTGGAGTTAATTAGAGCATCATCTTGGTCAGAATTTGAGGGGTTGCTGGAACAGTCTGAAGTCACATCCTTAGAACACGCCAGCCAATAGGGAATTGCTGTCAGATCAGCTTGTCTATGGCCTTATCTTGGAACAGATGGGTGTGAATGAGCTGGTGTCAAAAGACTTTGGGCCTTGATAGTCTGTATGAGCCTTCATACCAGTGGTATGGTTATCTCTTTTCTGAGTCATCACACAGGCCTTTCTGCAAGTTGTGGTTTTTGTTTCAAGTCTCCATTCCTTGTTAATTGCCTGGCTGCCCACAGGACCATTTTCTACTTAAAGTTTGTCCTTGGGCAACTTACTGGACCTCTCTCAACCTTGGTCCCCTCAATGGTTAAATGGAGATAATAACGGTAGCTACATCATGGAGTTCTGAGGATTAAATGAGTTCATATATGTGCAGCACCTAACGGTGTCTGGCATACAGGGGGTGCGATAGAAATGTCAGCCATTGGCTGGACATGGTAGCTCACACCTGTAATCCCAGCACTCTGGGAGTCCAAGGCAGGTGGATCACAAGATCAGGAGTTCGAGACCAGCCTGGCCAATATGGTTAGACCCCGTCTCTACTAAAAATATAAAAAATTAGCTGGGCACGGTGGCGCGTGCCTGTTGTCCCAGTTACTAGGGAGGCTGAGGCAGGAGAATTGTATGAACCCAGAAGACAGAGGCTGCAGTGAGCCAAAATTGCACCACTGCACTTCAGCCTGCGTGACAGATCAAGACTCTGTCTCAAAAAAAAAATGTCAGTCATTATTACAACTGCAAGCCTTCAAGATCTAGGAGAAGAATGTTGACACCTCAAAAGAAAAGATTGTCTGCAAATTTATTTTCCACTTCAGGAGATAAAAGGGGAACAACAATATGAGATACCCTGACCAGGACAGACACTGTCCAGGGAGCAGCCATGGTGATCTACAATAAACAAGTCCAGAGTGACTAACATGATCTTCCGAGAAAGAGAGAAAGAAGGAACTCAAGGGATCCTTTGTGGTTTGACCTATCTGCAGGTAAAGGGTGGTGGTGATGCCTCTTCCTTAGTTTAGCTGAGGACAGGACAGGAGGAAATGAAGTGAAGCAATGACACTGAGAATCTGGATTTGACGGTAGAAGAGATGTCTGACTCTGAGTTGCTGAGTATTGGGATTGTGAGAGGCGGAGGGGCTATGGGCTCCTGGCCACATCTAACCAGAGTGGAAGTTGTGGTGCAGAGGAGGGACCTCTGGTCTGGGAGTCAGGTAATCGCAGTCCTGGTATTGAACTTGCCTCTGAGTATAGAGGCGGGGCTTTCTGCCACTCAATCCTCACTCTGGGTCTTAGGCTTCCCTTTTGTAAAAGGGAGGATTCAGGGTAGATGGGCTCTTCAGGCTTCTTGCTTTCTTCGCTTCAAGGTGTCCTGGAGATTACCGTCATCCTTTGTCATGACTGCACAGTATTCCCCAATAATGCATGCTCCCCTATTGATGGACATTTGGTTGTCTCCAGTCTTTTGTGCTTGCCAGCTACAGTGCACATTTGGTACATGTATCTGCATGGAGTCATATGCATTTTTTCTTTAGGATGCCAAGAAAATGTATCAACAGGGTTTGAGCATTTATGATTTTCATGGTGGTTGCCAAATCACTCTCCTTAGAGGTTGTACCAAATTTTAATCTTACTGCCAACTGTAGGCCCTGCTGTTTTACTTATGTGGTGAGGAGTAGTGGGTGGGAGGTCTTGGTGATCAAGCGATCAATACATCTTCCACTTTTAAGGTCACATGACCTCAGGGCCCCACTCTGGTCAGATCCCATTTCTTAAGGCCCCAAGGGCTTAGCCAAGCTTGGCTTCTTGCTCCACTCCTTGTACCTCAGCTCTGCCGCCTCCTCTCACCTTGGCTTTTCTGCTCTCCAGCTACCCCTAATAAGAGGGAGAGAGAAAGTGAGAGACAGAGGATGTGTTTCAGATGCTCAATGTCTTACCGGTGCTGTGCCTGCAACCACCATCATTCCAGCTTCTGTGTACACACACCTGGCTTCCCACAGTTAAGGTGGAGGAGGAGGCCGCCAGCCAGTCAGCTGTGTGTGCGATAGTGAAGGACTGAATCCGTTAGGCTGTGAGACTGAGGGGCAAACTCACCATCCAGGGTTGTGCTGACAGCCTCAGCTGAAGGCTCACCATTAATGAGCTGAGCAAGCCTTCTTACACTTGCTGTCAATTTCACCCCAGGAAGATGCTGGCAGGGCCTGGATCTTGGTTATGACCTGGAGCCATGCCCAGAAACACTCAAATCTATCACCAATAATTGTCCATGGGCCTGGCTGAGGGGGAGCCTCCCTGACAAAGAAAGAAGTGGAAATCTGTCACAAAGGAAGCAAACACGCCCCGTGACCAGGAGTGCCTTCATTACTCCTGTTCTCATTGATTTGGCTGCCGCATGGTAAACTTGCTTTAGGCATCATTTCTTCAACTGTCCAGGCTCATGAAAACGGCCAGCAAGTCATCCCTGGACTCTACACATGCCTTTGTAATGTGCACAGGAGCCCCTGCCCCACCCCCAATTATGTATTCATCAAACATCTCCTGGGCACCAGTGTGTGTCAGGTGCTGGCTGTGCATGGGTGGCAGATGCCCAAGACTCTGTCTCCACTCTGGGGAAGTTGCTGAGGTGAGGCTCCCAAAGTGAAAAGAGACAGGTGTCATAGACAAGGCACATATGACATGCCTGATGGATTCAGGCACCCCTTAATGACAACTTTCTTTTTTGGCATTCCCTGAGTACCTGATCATTTTGAGAGTTGAATGAAGGGAGAGAGGCAAGGTAGAAAGAAGACGACAGCTCCTTGGGGAAGGCAGGTTGAGGCCTTGTAGGGGAGAGCTTAGCTCTTGGCATTTGTTGGTTTAATAGGGTCACTGGCAAGTGGCTTTGGGTTGGGTGAGTTTGCTAAAAGATAATTATGGTGGCACTGGCAGGAGAAAGGAAAGAGACTTCCTAGGGGCCTCTGCACTTGGCCTTTGCAGATGAGATGACACTATGCGAGTAACCTTAATAGGATGTGCGCTTCTGAGTCAGCTGATTAATTTTAACTCTCGCAGTTGAGCAAGGATTTGCATGGAGCCATTTGCATTTTCTCGCCAAGGCCCCTTCACTATTGATTGATTCATTTCAACACACATTTAGTAAGTTCCGACTATGTGCCAGCAGTCAGCTGGACAGCTGAGGTTCTGCCTCCTGGAGTTGACATTCTATATGTGTACTAGTTTCCTGTCCCCAGCTGTAACCAGAGCCCATCCCAGGGGGTGACACTTGGATCTTAGTGGGGGACCTTGAAAAAGTCTTTGTGTTCCAAGGGTGAGGGCCTACTGAAGCAATCTCAGGTACGGGTCAGATATTTGAGGCTGTCACACAATGTGAACAAAAGGGGGGCCCCAGCAAGTCGGATTCAGTCAAGTAGCTGGACGTGCAGGAATCACAGCCGGGGGCTAAGCCGAGTGTGTGCGTGTGTGTGTGTGTGTGTGTGTGTGTGTGTGTGATCTTTACACCTCCCTGGTCCCTTTCTCCTGGACCTGTGGATGCCCAGTGAGAGGAGGAAGGGCAGGGCACTATGGAGCCCAGCTCCCTGGAGTGGGGTCGATGATGCCAGTCTCCCTGGGCTAAAAGCCTCTTGTCAGCAGAGTAATTGGATCTGACTTGCAGCAGGCAGGGAGCAGAGGTATTCAAGTCAGTTGGTGCTATTTTTAAACGCCCTCTCTTCCCCAAGTGCAGATCTCAGCTCAGCGGGAGAGAACGGCTCATCTCAGAGCTCTGGGAATCAAAGCACAGCCCCCTCCCCCAAAGGTTTAAGTCCTCCCAACCCCATCCTTCAAAAATCAGATCTCAAATTGGGCAACTGCCCACAAATCCTGCCATGATCACATGTCCCAGTTTGGGGAAGGATGGACTCCTGGGGCCACTGGGTCGAGGGCTGGTTTGGGCTGGTTGCCCAGTTAGCCAGAAGCAGACCCACAGCCTTGGTCTCTTGGTTGCCTGGCAGCTCCAGAGGCTCACCACTAAGCCTGCAGGCAAACATGTCCCTGCCCGTCTGCTGCTGTCTGGACTCTTGGTAGCAGCTCACAGCTGCCTGTCAGGCTCTGAAAACAGAGCAGAAAGCAGCCACTCTCCTGCCAAATGTTCCACTAGGAGCTGAGCCTCATACTGAGTGCTGCAGAGGGTAGTGGGAGGGGCTCAGGGAAGCCGATGTCCCTTCATGCTGCTGATAAGGCTGCCAGGCTGGTCAGTTTCTTCTCACTTGTCATACTTCCTCTCCCCTTCCTACTCTAGTAGCTGGCTGTAAAATGTTCTCCTTCCAGAGCATGTGGTCAGGCCAGAAGGGAATTGCTGATGGTCCTGACTACCCCCACACCTCCCAACTTTTAGAAAAGGACAAGGCCACCTTGGGCAGGAGCCATCACAGAAGTGGAGATGCTGCCAACAGCCAACGCAGAGTGACCACTTTCCATGCTCCAGACGGCACATGTGTGGGCGAGGAGCTGCCATATCTTGTTATAGATAAGGATCGAGGCCCAAAGGGTAGCCCTCGGTCAAGGTCACTGGCAGGTCCTCCCTCTCTCACTGACTAGGACCCTCAAAATCCCCCAGAATTCCAGAGGTCTTTGGATGCAAAGAATGAGGGATGCTTCCACATCAAACAACACAGCCCCCTCTTTGAGAAGCTGGAGGAGTTCCAGGAGTCTTCCCGCCTTAGCCAGGGGCACGGGGAGCTCAACTCTGTGGCACTCTGTTCAAGTTTGTTGCTTTGGGTGACAGATCTTGAACTCAGTTTTCAAAATTGTTTGGTTAAAACATTGCAAGCTGGGAACCCTGCCAGGACCTCTTCTCTCTCAAGTGGAATTAGAATAAGGCAGGCTGCCCCGATCTGTTCCAAGGGTACTGATCCTTGAGTTTTATAAAGCAGCATCACTCAAACCCAGCTCTATCCAGAAGTGGACCATGTGGTGACATCCCTGGGACCCTGGGAAGACACCCCAAATCTATCTGCATTAGCCTGTCCCATGGTGCTCAAACCCACAGGCTTGTAGGGCCTTCTTTGAACTTTGTGGTCAGTTCTGAGTGGGCTGGAAGGACACTTCCTGGGTTTGGAGTCTTACAGGGTTGGGCAGGCTCTGTGGAAAGCGCTCTGCCTCGTCTATTAGCCCTGCGACCTGGGCTATGTGATAGCAAGTTGTTTACTTTCTTTGAGTCTGAGTTTACTTATCTCTTAACTGGGAAGAGAAGGAGAGCTGAAATTTGGGGAGAGGAGTGGGAGACAGTTGTGGGAGGCCCTGGGAATCCAGGGCAAAGGGGTGGGGATGAGAAAGGGCAGGAGAACAGTGCCTTTTCCAGTTTGCTCTACTTACATTTAAAAATTATTTTACTCTTAAAAATGATTCTATGTGTTTTAAAAAGCGCATTACATATGCACATGGTAAGAATCCCTGTGGTGCAAAAGGATGTACCTATACAGAGAAAACCATTCTCCCCCTGCCCCAGCCACCCAGGCTCTCTCTTCCTGGGGAGTTCCTGTTGTCAGGTCTCGTGGATCCTTCCAGAAATCATCTGTATATTTACTTTTGCTGCACATACACTGTAATCTAAACCACATAATTTAATTCAAAGGCATGCAGCATGCTCAGTTTCCTCTCTTGTCAATGTTTGTTGTGACGTCCTTAACACCAGGCCTTATTTGTGTAGGGTGCTCTACAAAGCACCATCCCCCAGCAGTTCTTAGCTGAAGCCATGGCCTTCTGGAGGTAGAGATGGCAATATTGTTATGCTTATTTTACAGGTCAGGAAGCCGAGGCTCAGAGAGGCTAGGCTGCTTGCCTAACGCCACATAGTGAGTGACTGCTTAAGTCGGGACCTGAACACAACCTGCCTGACTCTCTGGGCAGCTGTGTTCACTGCTTCCTTAAGGGAAACTGCTTGAATCCCCCTACACTGTGTTGGTAAACAGAAGATGTTTATAAAAAATAATGAGCCTTGCAAACCAGGGGTCGGTGTAGATGCTGCTTACAGGCAGGCCTGACTAACACCAGCAGGTCATGGGGCAGGTTGTGGAGACTCAGACCACAGCTGCCCTCTATGCGTGCACACACACACGTGCACACACATACACATAACAGGTGCCACAACATGTGTGTACATGCATATATCCATGAATAGACATATACCTGCACACGAACACATACATGTTCACACAAATCCCATAGACATATGCACACACATGCTCACACCTGCCCATATCCATATATACACTATGCACACACATGCTTATACATTCATGCACACATTCATTCTCATACCACATCTCACACGATACACATAGACACAGTACCACACAGATGCACGCTCACAGACACATGTACACACACACAGCCTTGGGACTCCAGAAGGGCAAACACAGCATGTGGAATCCTGGTCCTCAGGGCCTCCTTTGCCGCAGTGTGGAGGGTAGGCTGCAGAGTCCTCTGGGAAAGGCCATATGAATGGCCACATTAGGTTCGTTGGGAGCCATTTTGCTCCTAGAAAGCATTTTCATTTTGTGCCATCATGGCCTTGCAGATGGGGAGCATTTACTTCCCCCTAGGGCTGCAGGAGGATGTGTGAGGGAGCAGGGGCTGAGCTGAGCTGCAGTCCTGCTGGGCCTTTATTCTCAGCTCATGAACACCTACCAGCTTCAGACTACATCTGGAGCCAAAGCCCAGGAGGTGAACAGGGGAGAGGGCAGAATCCAAGTCAGCCTGTGCGCTGCAGTTTCAGGGCCTGGTGGAATCTCTGTGTCCATTCAGAGTGTCCCCTCCCCAGGCCTACATGACCTCTGCCAGAGTCTGATGACACTCATTGAAATGTGAATACCCATGACAGCCCCAAGGCAGTGACCCTACCAGCAAGTTGCTGAAGGAGCCCGCTCCCCAGTGCACTTGGTCTTTTATTGGGAACATGTTTTGATGGTGCTGACAGTGAAAGAAAGACAGGCTTGGAATCAGACAAACAGGTTCCAGATTTCCAACCTGGGCCAAGTAATGCTGAGCAAGTCTTTCTAACCCTTGAGCCTCAGTTTCTTCATCTCTAAAATGGGAATAATGTCCACAATTCATTGCACTGGGTGGTTGTGGGGCTGAATTTGGGAAAAGCTTTGTGAGAGGTAAATTGATATGCTGATATGACCGTGATCATCACAGAGGGACTGAAGCAGAGTTCCTGAGGGACCTGGAGTGCCAGGTGGAAGGAGAGGTAAGCAGAGAGGCAGGACACAGTGCCTGAAGCCTTGGAAATGGAAATCAATTTTGGATGGAGGAGTTATGACACCCAGTGCTGCAGCAGCTGGCCACTCAGGGCTGGGGTTTGTCCTCAGCCTTCCTTGCTTTGCTGCTGGCATTTTCATGGCTAATTAACATGTCATGGGGGTGGAGAGGAATAAAAACTCAAAACAATTGATTTGTCTATTTGCCAGCACATCTGGGAAAAGGCTGGTTGTGGGAGGTCAAAATTGAGGCTAAAAATCAGTGCTTTACGTTCTCAAGGAAACACAAAAATCTGCAGGAAAGCTCTAGGAAATCAAGGTTCAACTATAAACT